GCTATAGACTTAGACTGCTGGAGCACAAACTGAGCACATTTCCTCACTCTGCTGTTGTCTTTAGTCTCTCTCCTCTATATGTTTGTGCAGTTTGTGCTGTCATTAGCTTTGTGTCTTCTTGTTCTGTTTCCTGTAGAAACTACACCTAGATCATTCTGCATTTCTTTCCTGTCCTCTCTGTCCCCAGACGGTGAAGCAGATGGATGCTCATCCTGATGCAGGTAGTGCTGTAGGTTTCTTCCAGTCCAAAGAAAGTGGTTCCTTTACACTGTCATCAGAAACAGTTGTCATCAGCTGCCATAAGTGTCTGCTGCAACATCAGGGGAAGGCGTTGTTTCTCTCAGGTTGTMGTCATCTCCCTGCCATGGAGGCTACACAACCATGTGTGAAACGCGTCCTGCTTCAGTAGCTGCTCTCGTGTCCAGTCAGGATGTACAGGTTGCTCAGAGCTGATGGGTCATCGGTGGGTGTACTYTGAAGAATGATGTCTCTGTTAGGACAGGAAAGACAAGGGGACAGTCTCTCAGCTCATTCACGGTGCTCCACAAAACTGCTCTTTTTACCGTTARATGCTATGATTACTAAAAACACTGCTATTTATTCAGGAAAAATACAAATCTTCAAGGTGTTCCAGAAAAGAAAATCTGGGATTGGGCAAATTAAAGTTAATGATAAATATACAGTTGCATGAAAAAGTATGTGAACYCTKTGGGATTACTTGGATTTCTGCAYAAATTGGTCATTAAATGTTCTGATCTTCATCAAAGTCACAACAATAGAMAAACACAGTCTGCTTAAACTTATACCACACATAAAATGATATGTTTGTATGGTTTTATTGAACWCAACATGTAAACATCCACAGTGCAGSGTGGAAAAAGTCTRTGAACCTTTGGATTTAATAAGTGKTTGAGCCTCCTTTGGCAGCAATAAGCTCAACCAAACGTTTCCTGTAGCTGCAGATCAGACCTGCACAACGGTCAGGAGGAAGTTTGGACCATTCCTCTTCACAAAACTGTTTCAGTTCAGCAATATTCTTGGGAKATCTGGTGTGAATGGCTCTCTTGAGGTCATGCTACAGCATCTCAGTTGGTTGAGGTCAGGACTGTGGGCCAGTCCAGAAGGTGTATTTTCTTCTGTTGAAGACGTTCACTTGTTGATTTACTTCTATGTTTTGGCTCGTTGTCCTGTTGCATCATCCATCCTCTGTTGAGCTGCAGTTGGTGGACAGATGGTCTTAAGTTTTSCTGTTAACGTCTTTGTAAACTTGTGAGTTCATTTTTCTGTTGATGATGGCAATACGTGCAGGCCCTGAGGCAGCAAAGTAGTCCCACACCATGATGCCCCCTCCACCATGTTTCATAGTAGGGAGGAGAATTTGATGATGATGATGATGCTGTGCCTTTTTTTTCTCCACACAGCATTGTGTGTTCCTTCCAAACAACTCAGTTTTGGTTTCATCTGTCCACAAGATGATATGTTGGTAGTGCTGTGGAACATCCAGGTGCTCTTTGCAAACTTCAAACATGCAGCCATATTTTTTTTGGACAGCAGTGTCTTCCTTCATGGTGTCCTCCCATGAAATCCATTCTTGTGTCATGTTTTACTTATTGTAGATTTGTCAACACAAATGTTAGCATGTGCCAGAGGTTTCTGTAAGTCTTTAGCTGACACTCTAGGGTTCTTCCTCACCTCACTGATCATTCTGCACTGTGCTCTTGCAGTCTTCTTTACAAGATGCCCACACCATTAACATCAAGGCTTTTAGASATACTTTTGTAACCCTTTCCAGCTTCATGCAAGTCAACAATTCTTGAACGTAGGTCTTCTGAGAGCTCTTTTGTGCGAGGCATGATTCACGTCAAGCAATGATTCTTAAGAACAGCAAACTCAAAACTGGTGTGTTTTTTTAACAGGGCAGGGCACATTTAATCTCATCACAGTGATTGGACTCCAGGTTGGCTGACACCTGGCTCTAGTTAGCTCTTAGAAAAGTCATTTGCCTAGGCCTAGGGGTTCACGGACTTTTTCCACCCTGCACTGTGGACGTTTACATGTTGTGTTCAATAAAACCATACAAACATATCATTTTTTTGTGTGGTATGCGTTTAAGCAGACTGTGTTTATCTATTGTTGTGACTTTGATGAAAATCAGAAACATTTGAGGATCTACTTGTGCAGAAATCTAAGAAATTTCAAAGGGTTCACATACTTTTTCATGCAACTGTATATAAATTGTTAACATGAACTTGTTTTGTTAAAATACCTGTTTATTCCCAAAACTCTGAACACTCGACTCTCATCTGTGATTTCTTGTGTCACCTGTGTACAAATAAAACAGATATTTGTTTAAACAAAAAGAAAACATAGATACTAGAAGCTTCTACTACCTGTATGATCCTGCAGGAGATAACTATTATAGAAAATCACCTCATTTGAATGGAAACTTCTCCCCTTCAGGCCGTGCTTCCAGAAAGCCAGAACACTGTCCTGTAGGCAGACTGTGAGCAGAGGTCAGGTCAGTCAGCTGCTAAAACAAGAACTGATTTACTGTTTTAGATCCAGTTTATTACCTAATGTTTCGATTGGGAAGTCAAAGACCAACTCAGGCGCTAGCTCTTTGGATGGAGAACCTTGCAGATCCACAATCTTAATAGTTTCTGTGGAGCATCAAAGTGAAAGTAAAGTTTAGAAACAAAGAAAATAAAACAAACAGGTTGGAGAAAGTTTTTTACTTACTTTCTACACCAATGAGTATTGTATCTCTGTCCAGCTGTGTTACCTGTACAGCTCTGAGAACTCCGTTATCTGCAGTCATTTAAAAACAGATGAGTTCAGTTTAAGCTTTAATSTGAGACCCTCAGACCCCGAGTCAAGAAACCAGAGAGATATAAAGTACTTCAAAGAAATCAGTGAAAGTAAAAATATCATAACAGAAAACGACTCACTGATGAGAAATGTACGTAAGTAAACGTCATAAAACTGCTCATAATAATCAGGAAAGTAAAAGTACTTTTACACACACTAGGAAATGAAGTGTTGCATTTACTTACCAAGTTATGTTATCTGGTTCCACTGAACCCAGTTGAGTAAATGTAAAACAGTTTACTCAACTGGAAACAGCTGATGTAACTTGGTAAGTAAATTCAACTCTTCATGTATTAGAGTGCATAAACAACCCACTAGCTTTTGAATTTAAACTAAAGAAGTAAAAGTATCGTTTTTATGTTTTGAATGTAACAATATGTAAAAAATACTTTTACGACTTACTGGTACAAATCCTCAAAAAAAAAAGACTCAAGTACTGTAACAAAGTAAATATACTTTGTTTCAGGCCCTGTCACACTATAAAGTTTTAGACAACTTATGCCAACGTGTGAAATTTTTTTAATGTCTATATTACTAAAAAACTCACTACCTGGTGGTGAGCTGGCTCTGGTGGTGGGGGAGGATGCTGGTCAGACCTGGCAGACCCAAATGTATAGTGAGGGTCTGCTGGGAACATCTGTCAGAGTCTCCCGTCAGACGGAGCTTCAACTCACACCTCCAGGAGAACTTCAAACATGTTCCGGGGGGAGGTGGGGGACATTGAGTCTGAGTGAGCCATGTTCCATTCCTCCATTGTCGAGGCGGCTTACCTGAGCTGTGGCCAAAATGTTGTCAGTGCCTGTCGTGGCGGCAACCCTCGAACCCACTGGTGGACATCGGCTGTGAGGGATGCTCTCAGGCTGAAGGAGTCCTATCGGGTCTTTTTGGCCTGTGGGACTCTGGAAGCAGCCGATAGGTATTGGCAGTCCAAGCGGATTGCGGCTCGGGTGGTTGCTGAGGCAAAAACTCAGCTGTGGGAGGAGTTCGGAGAGGCCATGGAAAAAGACTTCTGTATGGCTTTGAGGCGATTCTGGTCCACCATCCGGCATCGCGGGGGCAAAGTGGTTCACCACCAACACAATTTATGGTGGGGATAGTGCGCTGCTGACCTCAACTCAGGACGTTGTGGGTCGGTGGGTGGAATACTTCGAAGACCTCCTCAATCCTACCRACACTGTTATGAATCTCATCTGTTCTCTGCCCAAGTCATGTCACAGTTAATTTCTTTGCTAATTGTTTTGCCCCTCCCGTCACAGAAGTTCCAATCAAGCTCATGCTACTCACCTGTTTTTTTCCAGTATTTATTCCAGTCCTCTCCTGCAGTTCCTTTCCAGTTTATCTCAGCCCGTTTAGATTTACCAGCGTTTCTCTTAATGCCTCGTTTTGCCTACCACGTCTTGACCCTCGCCTGGATTCTTGGTACTACGTCTTTTGCCTCTGCTCTTGCCGGATTTGTTTGCTCCTCTGATCCTGGGTACCCGAACACCGCATTGCCTCAACAAACCACATCTCTTGCTCGCCCCTCTGGACACCTTCGCCTCACATCTCCCAGGTGCTGGACCCAAGCACTGAATAATGACCAACGAGAAAAGCCTAACCCCCCTAAGCGACAAACTAAAGAGTTAGCTTGTGTACCCGAGTCTGGCCAATTATGGAGATCACTTCCTGGGTTCCCCAGTGATGTCTTCAGGACACCCAGACACCAAACAATCCGGATTTCTCATTGGACCTCCCAACAAACCTCCAGGTTAGTGGCTGTTAATCACTCCTGTCTGAATCAATATTTACCTGCAGCCACTAACTCACTTTTCCTGTGCCTAGAGATCCGAGACCTGCTGACTGCTTGTCATCCCCTTTCAGCAACCTTCCAGTTTAACAATAAAATTGTTAAATCTTCTCTGGCATTCGGCGTAATTTTGGAACTCATAAAACATACTGTAATAGACACGTCTTCCCATGAGGAAGCAGAGCCTGAGGACCCTGGGTCGGACTCTCCAATCTCTGGTGCCGAGATCATTGAGGTGGTTAAAAAGCTCCTCGGTGGCAGGGCGCCGGGGGTGGATGAGATTTGCCTGGAGTTCCTTAAGGCTCTGGATGTTGTGGGGTTGCATTGGKTGACACAACTCTACAATTTTGCGTGGACATCGGGGGCAGTTCCCCTGGATTGGCAGACCGGGGTGGTGGTCCCCCTATTTAAAAAGAGGGACCACAGAGTGTGTTCCAACTATAGGGGGATTACACTTCTGAGCCTCCCTGGTAAGGTCTATTCAGGGGTTCTGGAGAGGAGGGTCTGTCAGATAGTCAAATCTCAGATTCAGGAACAGCAGTGTGGTTTTCGTCCTGGTCGTGGAACAGTGGACCAACTCTACACCCTCAGCAAGGTCCTGGAGGGTGCATGGGAGTTCAACTAGTCTACATGTGTTTTGTGGACTTGGAGAAGGCGTTCGACCGTGTCCCTCGGAGACTCCTGTGGGGGGTACTCTGGGAGTATGGGGTACCAGGCTCGTTGAGGCTGTGAGGTCCCTGTACGACCGGTGCCAGAGTTTGGTCCACATTGCCAGTAGTAAGTCGGACTCGTTTCCGGTGAGAGTTGGACTCCACCAAGGTTACCTTTGTCACTGATTCTGTTCATAATTTTATGGACAGAATTTCTAGGAGCAGCCAAGGTGTTGAGAGGATCCTTTTTGGTGACCTTAGGATCACATCTCTGTTTTTTGCGGATGATGTGGTCCTATTGGCTTCATCAGATCGTGATCTCCACCTCTCACTGGAGCGGCTCGCAGCCGAGTGTGAAGTGGCCGGGATGAGGATCAGTGCCTCCAAATCTGAGACCATGGTCTTGAGCCAGAAAAGGGTAGGGTGCCTTCTCTGGATCGGGGAGGAGGTCCTGCCCCAAGTGGAGGAGTTTAAGTATCTCGGGGTCTTGTTCACGAATGAGGGAAGAATGGAGCAGGAGATCGACAGGTGGATTGGTGCTGCGTCTGCAGTAATACGAGCACTGTACCGGTCTGTCGTGGTGAAGCGGGAGCTGAGCCAGAAGGTGAAGCTCTCGGTTTACCAGTCGATCTACGTTCCTACATCATCTATGGTCACGAGATTTGGGTAGTGACCGAAAGAACTAGATCGTAGATACAAGCGGCTGAAATAAGTTTCCTCTMCAGGGTGTCTGGGCTCTCCCTTAGAGATAGGGTGAGAAGCTCAGTCATCAGGGAGGGACTGATGTAGAGTAGAGAAGCAGAGTAGAGCCTCTGCTCCTCCACGTCCAGAGGAGCCAGTTGAGGTGGTTCATCTGGTTAGGATGCTTCCTGGACACCTCCTTGATGAGGTGTTCTGGGCACGTCCCACTGGGAGGAGGCCCAGAGGAAGGCCCAGGACACGCTGGAGGGACTATGTTTCTCAGCTGCCCTGGGAACACCTTGGGATTCTCCCAGAGGAGCTGGCTCAAGTGGCTGGTTAGAGGGAAGTCTGGGTCTCTCTGCTTAGCCTGCTGCCCCGAGACCTGACCCCAGATAAGAGGAAGAAAATAGATGGACAGACGGACGGATGTATTACTTATAAAACTTTTATATTTGTGTTAGCATTAATGTGTTAGCATTAATATTTTAGCATTACAGTATGTACCTAAAAGAGGCTTCCAGTTTATTATACTTCCATCTTCAACATAGATGTGTTGAAAATGTTCAGAAGTTGTCTAAAACCTTCCTGTGTGACAGGGCCCTGCTACATGCTTCTGCAACAAACACAGGAGCTTCTCCTACCTGCTACTGATACAGGTGCGCCGTTCAGCTCTATTATGTCAAACTTCAGCTGCTGGCTGGTTGTGGTGTTTCCATGACGACTTTCWCTCACTCCCACACACAGCTGAGGAAACTCATCTGTTGCAAGCACCAGCAGCTCAAACACTGGCAGTGTGTCTGGTAACCTGACTGCTATGTGCTAAAACACAATCACAACAGACTGACATGACTTTAAATAAAAACATTAAAAAAACAGGAGAAATGTTGGCTTTGTGAAAGAGTTCTCCAAATCATTCAGCTGTTTTACTAACAAGCTAAAGTTTAGGCACTGCAGCTTTAGATCCAWGCTGTTGGACTGCTGCACCGTGTCCACATGTATTCTTAGACCAGTGGGGTCCAGTCCAGGCCCTTATCTTTGGTTTTAACATAAGAAATKATTCTTACAGACACACAAACAACCTTTACTCAGTTAGATTTTATGTAGTGTTTTAGTAACAGATAAAGAATAAATTATGTAAAAGACACTTCCTTTTCATTCATTTCTAACACCTGACTCTGACTCTCAACATTTTAATTTATTATATCTTAGCATTTTATTACTGTCCAGCAACTCAGTTAAAAAAACTATTTTTTTACTATGAAATAAGAAAATACAAACACAGATTGAACCTCCCTGCTTTAGCTCCTGTTTACACACTGTTCTGAAAAGAAACCTAAGCATTTCTATTGGGTTTTAGCCATTTTGCAACCACAACACACACACACACACACACACACACA